GATCTATCTTTAGACGACTTTTGCACCCAGAGCCTCCTTGGGTTTTGATTCTGAGATCTACCCCTGGAAGCTGGGACCTGTATGAGGCAAAAGGACTGTCTGGTAGGTGAGGGCCCAGCAACCAAAGCCCCTGACACCTTAAAAGAAGGGCATTTAGATTTCCTCTTTAGATTTTCTACCCCCTGAAATAGGTTTGGATATATTTGTCCAAATCCTCCCCAATCAGTTGTTCCCCATGAAAGAGAAAACCTGCTGACAATTTTTTGCATGGCAGTTCTGCTGACCAACTCTTCAGCCACAAAACCCTGCGCATGTGCACTGATAAGAGGGCCAAGCGAGGAATTTGCTGAATTGAATTCTTAAGCACATCAACCACGAAACACAGCACGTGGAACATCCTCCAAATCCTCAACCAAGCATTCCCCCTGTACTGATGGTCTTCCAATCCGCTGTTCGATGTTGTCAGACTCTGGCAAATGCCAATAGCTGCTACAGCTGGCTGTGCGGCAGAACCTGCCAGGGAGAAGGAGCCCTTAAGAAAGACTCCCAGCTTCTTATTTCTTCCCTGGGTTTTCAAAAGGCCCAGAAGAGAAGTAACCTCAGAGGTCTCTATCAGAGGTAGCCTGAATTCAGACTGTACCATATCGGTGAGGTTTTAGACTAAAAATCTCTGAGACTGTGAGGCAGAGACCTCCTGCTTCTCATCAGGCTGTGACTCCTCAGGCAGAAATTCTGCTGCCACACCTTCCTCCAGCTCTTCCTCATCCTAGGGCTCCACCTATTCCTGGTCCTGGATTGGTGGCTCTAGTGACTGGGATCTATCCCGCTTCTTATTCCACTGAGAAACTGATGCAATCATCCCAGCAATTTTATCTTATAAAATCACTAAGGCTGAAGGAAGATCATCCTTGGTTGCAGAAGCCACTGTAGCAGCCACAATGCCAGATACAGTGCATCCAGAAAGTATTCACAACGCTTAACTTTTGTCACATTTTATGTTATAGCCTTATTCCAAAATGGATTAAATACATTTTTTTTTCTCAACATTCTACAAAAAATACCCCATAATGACAACATGAAAGAAGTTTGTTTTGAAATCTTTGCAATTTATTTAAAAATAAAAAACACAAAAAAAAATCACCTGTACATAAGTATTCCCAGCCTTTGCTCAATACTTTGTTGAAGCACCTTTAGCACCAATTACACCCTCAAGTCGTTTTGAGCATGATGCAACAATCTTGGCACACCTATTTTTGGGCAATTTCTCCCATTCTTCTTTGCAGTACCTATCATGCTCCATCAGGTTGAATGGGTAGTGTCGGTGCACAGCCATTTTCAGATCTCTCCAGAGATGTTCAGTCGGGTTCAAGTCTTGGCTCTGGCTGGGCCACTGCAGAACATTCACAGAGTTGGCCCGTAGCCACTCCTTTATGTGACTCTGTGCTTCATTGGGTCGTTGTCCTGTTGAAACATGAACCGTCACCCCAGTCTAAGGTCCAGAACACTCTGGAACAGGTTTTCATCAAGGATGTCTCTGTACATTGCTGCATTCATCTTTCCTTCAATCCTGGCTAGTCTCCCAGTTCCTGCTGCTGAAAAACATCCCCATAGCATGATGCTGCCACCACCATGCTTCACTGTAGGGATGGTTTTGGCCAAGTGGTAAACTATGCCTGGTTTCCTCCAGACATGATGCTTGGCATTCAGGCCAAAGAGTTCAATCTTTGTTTCATCAGACCAGAGAGTCTTTTGCTTCTCATGGTCTGAGAGTCTCTCAGGTGCCTTTTTGGCAAACTCCAGGCAGGCTGCCATTTTGCCTTTTACTGAGAAGTGGATTTCGTCTGGCCACTCTACCATACAGGCCTGATTGGTGGAGTGCTGCAGAGATGGTTGTTCTTCTGGAAGATTCTCCTCTCTCCACAGAGAAACGCTGGAGCTCTTTCAGAGTGATCACTGGGTGCTTGGTTACTTCCCTGGCTAAGACCCTTCTCCCTCGATCGCTCATTTTGGCCAGGCGGCCAGCTCTAGGAAGATTCCTGGTGGTTCCAAACTTCTTCCATTTACAGATGATAGAGGCCACTGTGCTCATTGAGCTCTTCAATGCTGGCGAAATTTTTCTGTACCTTTCCCCACATCTGTGCCTTGATACAATCCTGACTCTGAGGTCTACGGACAATTCCTTGGACTTCATGGCTTGGTTTGTGTACTGTTAACTGCGGAACCTTTTATATAGACAGGTTTATGCCTTTCCTAATCATGTCCGATCAACTGAATTTCCCACAGGTGGTCTCCAATCAAGTTGTGGAAACATCTCAAGGAGGATCAGTGGGAACAGGATGCACCAGAGCTCAATATTTAGTGTCATTGCAAAGGTTGTGAATACTTCTGTACATGTGTTTTTTTTTTTTTGTTTTTTTAATAAATCGCAAAGATTTAAATACTTTAGAACTTTCACGTTGTCATTTTGGGGTATTGTTTGCAGAATGTTGAGGAAAAAAAATGAATTTAATCCATTTTGGAATAAGGCTGTAACATAACAAAATGTGGCAAAAATTAAGTGCTGTGAATATTTTCTGGATGCACTGTAGATGCAGTGGCTCAGACTGCCCAGTTGCTTCTGGTCTGTCGGGAGAGGATATTACAGTGGACCTTCAGCTAGGTTCCTCTGGACCTGGTGTTGGTACATTGGTGCCCTTTCCTGCTGCACCTCCCCCAATCTGCTTTCTGGAAGACGTTACTTCAGATGGTGCAAACCTGTGCACCTCCACTAGTAACACAGATCGCAATGATACAGCTATGCAAGTAGTGTGCTGAAAAAACACTCAGAGTACTCTCCTGCCCCTGCAGAATAGCCCGCTCTGTGTCCCGGCCACAGGAGATTCCCCAGCAGCAGTAGCCCACGCATGTCCTGGCCTCCAGATAAAATATGGCCGCCTTCCCTCTAGTGGCCGAAAACAAAAAGAGCAAGCTCATCTCGGGAACAGTGAGCACTCCCCCAGGTGGAAACAAGTCGCAACACCTCTCCTTTTCTCTTTAATTTAGAGCTTTTTTTTTTCTCTTTACAGAGAGAAAAAAAGGAGATATCTTAGCAGTCCTGCTGCAGGTCCCTGACTTCCATCAGGCACCAACCTTCACCCATCACAGTGGGCACTGTCCTATAGACCTTCAAGGACTCCGTTCCCATGCTGAGGAGGTACTGCCTCAGACCCGCATAGCACCCCGCTGGATGCACCTTGGTCAGATTTAAAACTTCACAGGGCTCCATCTGTTCGGGATCCAGCGCTGTAAGGCTGCATTACAGGTAAAACCTTGAGGATTCTTCTCCTTATCCAGCGAGGCTCGGGTACCATCTATTTTAGCGCATAGCCGAATGCATCCGATTAAATTCCCTGATTCTCTAATGGAACCGTTCTGGACTTTCAGGTATGCTCCAAGAGCACAGCAAGACTTTAAGTGACCATCCACCTTACAGACACTGGTGAAAAAACTGAGGCACTTCCTGTATAGGAGGGATTATATAGGGGAGGACCTCCTCTGATTGGTCGGCCATTGTCCGTTCACCTATAGAAGGCCTATAACCCACATAGTCATAAATAGCCTGCTCTGTGTCCTGTGATGTACAATAAAGAAATACTGTTTTTTTACATTTGATATAACATTTTAAGAACACATGAACTGATATCTCAGACAAGAAAAAATAGTTTAAAGGGGCACGGTCACCAGCAGGTATCTGAGTGACAACTTTGAATCTGGTGTGGCATCTCAAGTAGCATCACATCCCTATCCCCTGGTGGGTGACACCCATATAGGCCATCTCAAGCCTTGATTTATTTTTTATTTCAGGTATATACAGGGGTTATACAAAAGAAAAGAAGCACTACATTATTTGCAAGTGTGAAAGTGAGGACATGTTTCAAGTTGAAAGCAGAAGTGGGGTAACATTCTTTTGCTTCCGCTGTGTGATGAGACACCCAGCTAGTAATGCTAGTAATACGGAGTCATGTTAGAGCTTACTGAGCTTCAAAGAGGGCAAATTGTTAGTGCCTGCTTAGCTGGCACCTCTGTGACTGAACTTCCGAATTTATTTGCCGTGCCGCGAGATTCAGTATCAAAGGTTATGACAGCATATACAGTTTCCGGGAATACGTAGTCTTCTAAGCATAAGTGTGGTCGACATAGCTGACAGGAAGAGGCAAAAGGACATTTGCGCAGGATTGTGACCCTGAATAAGAAAGCAACTACTGCAAAAGTGACTGCAGAGCTCAGTCTTAGTCTTCACTAAACAGGGTCTCTAAGCATTTGTATTTACATGTTGAGAAGAAAGTATGCCACAAGTTAACACACGACTTATTGCGCTTATGTTATCCTGAACAGCTTTGGTTCTCTATATGTTGTACACCATCTGCTGTTTTATAGGCTAAATTTCACTGGTCGCAGATCTTGCTTCTATCCCAATCCCAACATTGTATAATACAATCCTAATTCCTTGACCTATCCATTTTAACTTGTCCTCTGACCTACAATGCTGATATTTTTTGTTATGAATGACTTATTAAAGCCTAAGTGCAAGCAGATAGCTAAGTACACTATCAAAATGCATATGTGGGAGTTTTTTTTCCTGTTTGAGGATTTGTTCATCTGGTCCTGAGAATTACTTATCTATGCTTGGTTGGAACCTAGTGCTGCTTCCTCCCTCTTTTATAGTAAGTACTACTGCAGAGGTGATAAGAAGTGGCTGATACCCCCTCGGGGGTGGAGGGGCAGTAATAGAAAATGTTACTGTTATCCAGAGAGAATTCCTCTCACTTCCTGTTCTGATGATTATGGTCTTACCAGACAGGAATTGCAGTGGGGAGGCGAACAAATCTGCAAAACATTTGGTTGAATATATAATTGCATTAATTGTTGATGTATAGTGTCTGCCTTTTAATTCAGCTTTAAGACTAGAGAATTTTACCTGTTTTAACGTGTGTTTTTTTTTCTCTCTCTCTCTCTTCTAGCACTAGAAAGTTTGGGATTTGGTTCCTATATCAGTGAAGTAAAAGAAGTCCTACAAGAGTGTAAAACGGTAGCATTAAAAAGAAGAAAGGCCAGTTCTCGTCTAGAAAACCTTGGCATTCCCGAAGAAGAACTTCTAAGGCAGCAGCAAGAATTATTTGCAAAAGTAAGCAGTCAGTGCCATTGTAGCGTTGCTAAAATCAATACATTGGAAATTTTGTTGACCATTTGTTTGAATGTGTTTTGGGGAGTATTTAACCAACATGCCTAAAACAAATCTGTCCTTTTATGGCATAAAAGGTAAATTCATAGCTTGCCAGTTTCAGAAATGGCAAATGACGGATTGTTTCTTGTTCGAGCAATGAGGATTTTGCCACAACTTTACTATAGACCTTTTTATGCCTGGTATTGTAGGTGTATGTGTGTTTTACATATTTTTGTCCTATTTTCTACCTTTATAAATCTCAGTTAATTTTAATGGCAGAGGGACTTTGCAATTAATTGCAATTCATCTGATCACTCTTCATAATATTTTGGAGTATATGCAAATTGCCATCATAAAAAGTGAGGCAGCAGACTTTGTGAAAATTAATATTTGTGTTTTTCTCAAACTTTTAGCCACGGCTGTACGCCCATGTGAACAAGGCTTTATTCCAAGATTGACTGAAATGATTGAAAACAGAGGGCCAGGATGTATATGGGTGCCTCGGCTGTCCCAGATGTCTCTCTCCTCATTGGCTGAGACACAGCAGTGGGAGTCTTTAGCTTCCACTGCTGTCAGTTACAACCAGTAAGCCAATGAGGAGAGTGCGGTGCTGGGCCAAGCCTCGACTCTGTGTCTTATGGACGCATAGGGCGGGGCTCAGGAGCAAGCCCACCAGTGCCCCCATAGCAAGCGACTTGCCATTGGCGGTCACTGGTCAAGAGGAAGTAGCCAGGAGCGCCAGCAGGGGACCCAAGAATAAGGATTGGGACTTCCCCAGCCATATGAAGGTGCTAATAATTTTGGCTAGTCCATTTTTGGGGTTTTGTGTGGAATGTCAGATTTGGCTTTTTGTTTATCCACTCTTTTGTGTCATACCAATACAAACAAGAGAAACGTGAGTGCCTAAACATTTGTAGTTGCAACAATTTTCTGGGCGAAGTGGTAGATTATCTGACAGAAATGCAGTGATGCCAATATATTTGGCCATGACTGTATGTTTAGAATTGTATGTAAAGTAGGTGCTAGCCCTTTAAACCAAAATAATTTATAATCTAGTATCCTGAAGCAAAATAAAACTGAATAACAAAAGTATGTAACAAATACATAAGTGCAAAATAGTCAATATGAAATCCAAAAAAATCTTGTGAAAAGTTCCCAATCACCATTTTTTGACAATGTAATTAGGTGATGACAAATCCTCATTTGGACAAAGTCCTCCACCACGTGCAAATATAGGTGAATTACTCACCAGATTCCTATGGCCAGCAATGTAGCCTGCAAGCTTTAGAGCTCATAACCCAGGATATGGGACCACCGTATTCAGTTCAACCAGAGATGTAACTGGGGGGCACCAACAAAGGCGGCTCACTCGTGGGTACCGCTGCTCTTACCTCCAGAGTCGGCATGCATTCCACTGGAACTGGACGGAACGTCAGGACTAGAACCGGAAGTGGTGTTAGAGGCTTGACCTTCAAGAATGGACCCCGGCTCTGGAGCTATGAGTGGCGGTGCCCACCTGAGGTTCCTACAAGTGAGTTGTCTATGTTGGTGTCCCCCATTGGCACCTTGATATGTGAGTGCAATATTTTACTGTTTTTGTAGTTGTACAAATGAGTGCAAGTTCTAAAGCTGTATTCTATTTTCTTCCAGGCCAGACAGCAACAAGCAGAGTTAGCCCAACAGGAATGGCTTCAAATGCAGCAAGCTGCACAGCAGGCACAACTCGCAGCTGCTTCAGCCAGTGCAAGCAACCAGGCAGGCTCGTCACAGGATGAGGAGGAAGATGATATCTGAATCTTCCTGACTACATTTTCTACCCTCCTGAATAGTTCTTGCCTGCACAGTGAAATCCGTGAAGAAAAAAAAAAACGCTTACCTGGAAATTTTTTTTATGTGTCTATTGTGGACTGGTCAATTGGTATTGTAGGGATGGTCTGTAAAGTCTCTGCTCCTGTATGTCCTAAACATGTACAAAACCCCTTTTGAACTGTAAACTCACATAAGGTTCAGTATCATATCAGTAGAGAATTTTTAATGGTCTTTATGGAATTTTATATTAGCAATGAGTCATTTACTTGATCAATAAGCAGTGTTAAACCAAACTACAACTTTATTAAATAGTGAGATTTATACAGAAGCTCTAAAAACCTATTTGCATTTCCCTTTTAACTAAACTTAAAAACAAACAAAAAAAATCTTAGGAGTTTTTTTAATTTTTGGGGAGGGGTGGGAACATATATTGTTCTGACAGGAATACAATTAATTTCATTGTAAATGTTGAATAACATTTTGCCTCTTTGGAATAAGGCACATATGAAAGGTCCATAGTATTTTGTATAATGTGCAGTTTGGATGCAAAGCTGTATATAAGCATCCTATCTGATTTATATATGTGCCCATACTGAATCCTGTGCTGCAGTTATTTCTTGTATGTGTCTTATTTTAACAGCCTGAACTGTAGCGGAATACTACATTTTACAAGCAAAACAAAGCAAAATGTTGTATGAGGAAGTGTAAATCCTGATGCGTGTTCAGGAATGTGTCTCAAGCAATTGTAGAAAAATGCATACTTACTGTCCTGTTGGGTCAGCAGAGATCATCTTTTAGGATTTAGATTTACAGTTAACTTTGTTTTTAAAATGCTTATGTCCTTGACTTATCAATGAAATCTACATAATGTCAGTGATTTGCACTGGGGGTTTTCCAAGGGGTTTCTGGGCCAACGTTAGTAAAAAAAAAAAAAAAACTTGACAGTGTGCTTAAGTTTTGAAGTCCTAATTTGGTTTTGTGTTTCTGTTAAACCATTATCTGCTTGTTGGAGTACAATGTGAGTAACTGAGGAAGACATGCAGACTTAAACAAGGAATAAGTGTGAGGACCTGAGTGCAATGTACAGTATGCATAGTTGGCAATCGGACTCTAGTGGTGGTCTGACTTCAGTGGATTTCATTAGTTGCTATGGGATACAGTGCTACGCACAGATGCTTTCCACCTTGCACTGTTGATTTAATAAGGATATTTAGTAATAGTTTAACTGAGATATAACCTGGATGAATTGATTGCCCATGATGACCAGGCAGATTTCAGCTATATTTTTCCCCTGCTGTTTAGAATGTGAATGTTGGTATAATTGTTTGCATCTGCATTAAACAGTGTTGCGTGGGGACCTTATAACAGACATATAGTAAAAACACAACCTCACTCTGTCGTGGTCACCTTGCATTCCTATACTCAACCAAAGAGTTCATACAGAACTGCTGATCACCCAACACTGCCTGAATGTCAGTCTAGAAACTCCTTCAGATTAAATCAATTGACCATGTATGTGATCATATTAGCTACTGTCCATGAGAATCCATGGCAGTGTTTTCTGCTACAGATGGAAGCATTAGGGGATTAGATGGTGGTCAGGATAGCAGGAGTTTGAGTTTTTACTACATGTCTTCTGTAAAAAGAAAGCTAAACTACAATCTTGTTGATGAAGAACTCCACGAATGGGGCAGACAGGCTACACCCTAGACTAGAGCACAGCGAGTGTAAGGCAAGCCATAGATGAATCGATTTTCTTTTCTTCCACCACAGTTGCAAGGGGAAAAAAAAAAAAAAAAAAATCACTCAAATTTCCCCTATGAACACAGTCATTGTTTGTGGGAGGAATTCCTCCCGCAGGACTACTGTGTGCTGGCGGCAGGGGGGCCTTCCCACCCAGCAGAACATGATTACTGCTGTGGGCAGTAATTGCATGCTAAAAATCCAACAGGCTGGTTGTACCCAAATTGATCAATGAATCAATTTTGGTACAATCAGCCTGCCCATAGATGGTTTAAATCTTGGAAGGTCCTGCGGAAACGACTGAGATTCAATCCATCTATAGATGGCTTAAGTTTATGTTACAGCTCCTGATCCAGAGTTCATTGTTCTAAAACTTGCAGAGCCAGTGCACACTCTGTCCTGTTCTCTGCACTGTAGCTGGTGTGTTGGGGAAATTCCCAAAGATGTTTGCAGGGCTGACGAGTACATCTGGCCAGCTGTAGAGCAGAGCACAGGGAGGAGTAGTGCAGCAGCTAGGCAACCTTTTTGCAATTGCTGTGCTGAGCTGAGCATTGTGTTGTCTTTTCTGCTGTGAGGAGGGTGTACCATGCAAGTCAAGATGAACTATCTTAACTTTTCACAGACCATATTTGTGATAGATGTATGGCACAATCTGTGGGTTTACCATAGGAATTCATGTCCAATAGATTTAATTTTTACAGCCTATTTCCTTCATAGACGGGTCTTGTTTAACCAGTGTTAATACATGGGTCACCTTGTTATCATGCCGGTCATCACTTGCCATATTGCTCATTGGTTTTATTTAAGGGTATGTTCAGTTTAAAAGGGAACTCCCAGTCTGCTTGTAACCGCTTTGTTGAGTAGTACATTGAGGATTTCCTCCATCCCTATGGTCAACTACAGCAGGCCCACCTGTCCCCGCTGTTTGTAGAGTTTTGTAGGCTAAAGTCCAACCGTTCAGATGAAATGGTTCAGGGTATCCTTACTAGCAGGTAAATCATGAACTGTAGTGCCCTATTCAAGTAAAGACTTGAGAACCATGGGGAGTGTAAAGAACACTTACAGCAGGGTGGAAACCAAAATCTGAGATAGTAATGTCTAGTTATGCAGATAATCTTAACCTATCCAGAGCTCATACATTTTGTTCTTTTTTTCAAATGCAACCTCTGCATTGTGTCTCATCAACTTTTCTTTCATTTCTTTTTTTTAAAAAGGACAGCATAAAGTAAGTGCTACCAAGTAAACATTTAGAGGGAGAAGACTTCTTAACTGCTCCTGTGCACAAAACATTCTTTTTAATGCTGAGAATTATAATCCTTAGAACAATGTAACTTTAATATGGGCAGTAAAAGAAATGTTGCATGATGGCTTCAGAAAGAAAGTTTAAAATCTGTGTTATAAGCTGTTTCTAGAGCATGTTTATTTGATAAAAATGCTGTCAGTGGAGTCTTTTTATGTAAATACTGCATACTTTACCTGTTTTTGGTTGAAATTTCATATTCATGTCTCATCTCTCAGCTTTGTATTTTTTTTCCTTCACAGTCAAAGCACAATATTTAAAAATATGCTTGATGCTTCCTCCATACAACCTGGAAATCCCCGGGATTTTGTGTCATAATTTATATTGGTGCTGCTTAAAGTTTCATGTTTTACCAGCCAAGTCAGATAGCTATAAAACAGAATTATCAACAACTTTTCATTGTCTGATTTTTTTTATTTTTTTGTTTTTACAGACAGGTTTGTATATTGCAGCAGAAACTTACAGAAGGCACATGGAGGTGTATACGACCTTAGTTTTCCAGGGAAATATTAAGGGCCTGTGTTGATGACATCAGTTTGTATTGTTTCCAAGATCAGAATTCATTGACTGGTGCATTTGACCTGTAGTGGGCCTCCATCTAACCTGCATTTGTCCTGGTTCAGGTGGGGTTTGAATTCCTATTGACTTGTATAGAAATGCAAAACCCCCTTGAAGGAAGCAAAAGCCAGTCAATGCAGGCCTTAAAACATTTGGTGTACAAGTGGTGGCCTCCAGATCAGACTTCAAACATCTTGCCTTCCCTTAATGCAGGGAGTGGCCCTTCTAGCCAATTACAAAGCCGTGCATCACAGGAGAGAAGAACTTGAACTTTGCAAGTCTATAAAGCTGCTGTTTGCTTGGATGGTGCTGGGTTTATGAGCCCTGGGTCACTCTTACATGGGAAATATAATTGTGTACAAGTATCCATGCTTTTAACATTTGCTGTCAGTTTATAAACCTGTCAGGATCTAAACTGTTTTACTTTAATTCATGAACTCAACATAGTAGGAAATGGAGGCAAATTGTTATTGATAACTTAATGCTATTAGTGTAGATTAAAATAAGAAGAATACTATGAAATCTATAATGCACCAGAATATTGGTGAGCCCACAGTCAAACACAAGCAGAACTGACCTCTGTAGAGTTGTTATACTCTCATTTCAGACTGTCACATTTGATCCAACTTTTTTATTTTTTTATTTTTAAGATCACAAGGTAACATGAATTGTAAGGAAGATTAATTTTAGTCCATACATTGAAACTTATATTTTGGTTGCATGCTACTTAGGAGCTCAAAGAAAAGGTGGGGCATACATTTTTTTTCTTGTTCTAATGACGTGTGATTTGGGTTTATAACCAAAGATAATCCTGTTTAGCAGAGCCTGAAGAGTTTCACCGTGCAGTGTTGATGCCCCGATACACAAACACAGCCTCTTTCCTTCAAGTGTAAAAATATTTCACAACCTGATTTTCAGTGTGCAGTGTTTTAAGAATGTCACTGCCTTGATTGTTATGTGATAGTTGGATCCTTGTGTAATTTTTTATTTTTTTTTTTCTTTAAGTTCTGTACTTTTTTGTTTTTCCCCCCACATGCTGTATTCTTCAAGCAATAAAATGTTCATGTTTTATAAATGTTTTGTGTTTTTTTATAAGAAAAAAAAAAAACAGCACTATTGATAATGTGTACTTGACATAATCGTAAGTCAACAGTGACATCATTGTTGCCCGATGAAGGAGCTCATGTAGAGATAAGAAATTTCACTGCTGTATTTTTGAGGCTATAAAGAAATCCAAGAAGGAATAGTTGATTTACTGATATACAGTGCTCAGCATGAATGATTAGACCCCAACAGATTAATCAGAAAACCTTTACTTTCCTTTCAGAATCAACATTTTCTATGGGACACTATACTACAAGATACTTCCACAAATGTGGGCCAT